TCTGAAAAGTTTTCAAAGAGATTTAATAACACAGAAAGCAAATGGCCATAGAAAGATATTTATGAACAGAAAATGGGAGGCTGCAGGAACATGGACTGAAACAAGTTTTTCACAACAGTGTAACACTCACCAGTCTTCTATTCAAAAATAATTTGACCAAAACTCTTCAGACTTTTAGGATATATTTTCCTGTAAACAATGGCTTTTCAGGCTGAATTAATTTTCCAGGCAAAAGATGAGGCTTTACAGTGGAAAAAAGTTGACACCTCAGCTATGGATAAACTTGTACTTCTCCACAAGGAGCTTGATAAAATGACAGTAGCATCTTGAAGACAAATCAGCCTTTCCTACGAAGAATGTGGGGACCCAGAACAATCTGTTTTGTTGTCATAACTGCACGCACTTACCAAGCACAGACCCGGGGTGAACACCAGCCAGCATATCTTGATCAAAGGCCATGGCCGATAACCAATCATGTCTTCAATGTTGTCGTAGAAGCGGTTGGCACCTTGGCCACCAGCCAGCACAGAGACAAAGTCAGAAGTGAGGACGTAAGATCATTGCTGTTTCCTTCAATCACAACTCATATCAGATCCCATATTTCTTTATCCTCAGTGTTTCTTCCTGGCAAAAAACATGGCTACCCTAATAAGAGCATGTGACAGACTTCCTGGTATCCAGAATGCTCACCTGTGGCTAAATACAGATGGAGGCTTTTAATTTCAGCCATAACTTTCCAGAAAGCTTGACATAAAATAAATAACCTGCCCCTCAGAGAACAGCATCTGTAAGTCAGAGAATGCAGACCCTAGCTTGAGGGGTATTTGATTTACAGGTCAACAAGGGAAAGCTCTTGCAGATGGAACACACGGGAATGTGTGAGCCCACAGTGATGCAAGAAACAAAGAGAGCAGGGAACACCAAATAAAACCCTCTCTTTGTTACCAGCTCAACGCACCGAAGAGTTTATGTCAAGAATCCACACTGGGTGAACTGGGTGTTTCACCTGTCATGAAGAGCCTGCTTTCCACAGAATATTTATTTTTTTGGCATAAAACCAAAAGACCCAGAAATCCAAACTCTGCTAGAAAACAAGACTTCCATCTGCAAGTATTGCTGTTCTGTTCAATGCAAGTTAATCTATGGATGCCTGATCTCTTCTTCCTCTCACTGTTCCCCTAAGTTGCATGACTGGCCCATTAAATTAAAGTCTAACTTCTGTACACACATCACAACACCATGGAAAGATCTGACCCTGTGTTCAAGAAATATTCAGAGGGTTCAAGTTAATGTCAGGGTTTAAAAATAAGTCAGCTTCTCTTACGTAGCCCATATTAGCCTGCACCCACCTGAACCCCATGATTCAACAGAGTGGGATATACCTCTAAAGAGCATCTAAAAATCATTCCACGGATCAGATCCTATCCACTGACTCTTCTCAAACCAAAGCATAAACTTGAAATGCATGCAGTGATATATAGAGAAGATAGCATAATGCAAGTGGAAATCAGCAGACCTTCTAGCTCTAGGATGTCTTCAAGGAATAAGATCCTCATAGATCATAGATCCTCATAAGAATGCACCAGTAAGAATGCACAAAGATCTTCCTAACTACTAGAGATACTAAATCAGACTTTCTCAGGTAAAATAGGGCAATATTAAACAAAAAGCTGGAGATAACTTGCCCATAGAAATGGTTACTGTATTTGCCTTATTGAAGTTTTATCATAATGCTTAACTGATAAAGAATTGCTTCTTCTTTTAGGGTTGTTCATCCAATTGTGAACTCATTGCCAGAGTTCCTATCTCCAAATGAGCTGAGACCTTGTCTCCTCGCATTTTCATACCAGAAGGGTGGGCAAAAATTTATCCTAGAGGACTTGCCACACTACCATGTGCTTAGTATTTAATGTGCTTTGTTGTGTTATGTTTTTCTGTCTTAGAACCAAGTCCCAAGATCTTTTTCCTTCGTGTGAATTCTACAAAAGCACATTAAGCATGTTTTTCTTTTCTGTAATTCTTTGTGTTATTTTCTGTATCCCATGACTAATATTTGCAGGAAAGCTCCCTTAAAACCAGCTTTTGAAGCATTTAGGAAAGAGGGATGGGGAGGAGCACGTTCTTTGAATACCTCATGGTTCCCATCTTGAGTTGGCAAGTTAACAAGTAGCTTCCAGCAAAAACAAGCTGCGCATATCAAGGGACATGCAGCCTTGTGTAGGATCCCAGCCTACATCAGAAAACAGAACCCTAAAACTTCCAAGCTACAAATCCCATGAGGCTTCAGATAACGTTTCTGAAAATATGCTGGGGATGAAGGGGAGATAATATAAAAATATGTTCTGCCACAAAGCCAAAATCTTCCATGAGGTAGGAAAAAAAGGAGAGTGAGATAAATGATATGGCTGTGGCATAGCGCAGTCTCTTACACCGTACAGTGTTTCCACAGAAACACACCATGATGTCAGATATACGATGGATAAATTAATTCACACTGGCGGCTGAAGTCAATTTCACTGCAAATTTTGGATCTAAGATCTAGTGAGGGACGTAGTGAGTAAAGAAACACAAAGATGCCAGGCCAAAAGAAAGACACAGCGCACGTCTATTCTCCAGGAAGGAAACAACACAAACCTTACAGTTAGTTACAGCATGGGTCCACCTGTTCCCATCCCTGTTCTCTGTAGTATTCCCATCAGGTCCTTTGTTTCCAGGACCACTGTGGCAAACAGTAGGGTGTTGTGGTGAAACACGATGGACACTGACACAAACAGCCTCAGAAAGTACAGTAATGGGAGCTTTTACGTGTTCTGCTTTTCACAGGATATGGAAAAGTAATCAAGCTAAAGAAATCATCAGTTCAATCACTCAGCGTTGGCTTTTTGTGCAACTTAGAAGCTAGAGGATTTGTGCAGTCCCCATTCCTTCTCAGAATATTGGAAGTAGCTTACAACAACTGCAAGTAATGAAAGGGACAAAGATTTTTCTTTTCTTCCCCACCCAGAAACAGTGTGTTTCACAGATGAAGTACATAGTCCAGGAAATATTTCTCAATATGTCCTGGTTTCAGCTGAGATAGAGTTAATTTTCTTCCTAGTGGTAGGTACAGTGCTGTGTTTTGGATTCTGGATGAGAATAATGGTAACGTGCTGATGTTCTGATTGTCACTGTGAAGTGCTGCACAGAGCCCAGCACATGTGTTCTTCTGGTGCTGCCCTGCCAGTGAGGGGGGAGAAGCAGATGGCAGGGTGCAGAACCAGGACAGCTGATGCAGACTGGCCACAGCTGCACCATGTGGTGTCATGTTGAACAACAAAATGGAGAAGAGTTGGCTGGGAGGACAGCTGCTGCTCAGGGAATGGGTTGCGCATCAGTCAGTTGGTGGTGAGAACTGAACTGTGCATCACTTTTTTTTGTAATTATTATTATTATTAATTTTCTCTTATTTTTCTGTCTGATTAAACTGTCTTTATCTCAACCTACAAGTTCTATCTTTTTCCATTTCTGTCCCATATCCCCAGAGTGAAGGGAGAGGGTGATCAAACAGCTGAATGGTGCTGGGTTGTCTGCCGATTTAAATCACAATACAGTACATCCTGTTTGAACTGTTAGTGTAGAGCCTATGACAAAACTCTCTCTTTTAAATCTTTTCTCCCAAGCTGCATTTATTTGCATTCATCTGTACTGAATTTCATCCACAGGAAGTCAGTACATGATGACCTTGGTGCCAGGCCACAGCTCTGAGCTTGTGTCTGCTCTCTTGCTGTCCCAAACCTGCAGTGCCCACGCCTGTGCCAAAACCATGAAAATGCTGGCAGGACATTTGCTGGGGCACTGTAGGAACTGTGTGCCATTTGGATAGCAGCTGCTTTTAAAGAGCCTTTGCAATCCATAAATAACAATGTGAGGTTGCCTGTAGCAGGGGCATCCAAGAGGATAAAGCAAACTCAGCTAGGGCAGCCTGATGGGCAGGATCCAGCCAGGAGGAATGCGCTGCTGCTGCTGGTAGACACATTGTATGTAAGCAAGAGAGGAAGATTTATACCAGCTGAACACAGATTCACCCTGCAGCCACCCACAGGTGCCTGCTGGCATCAGTTTGCTTTAGCTTTGTAAACAGTTCAAAGGGCTTCAGCCCCAGCTCTCATGCAGCGATGGAGGCACATGCTTTCTCCTGCAACAGCTTATCGTAATATGCATGCTGTGACTGCCTGAAAAATGAAAACATCACTCCCATACCATGTTTCTGTGGCATCATGCTGCAGCCCGAGTGCACAAGAAGAGTACCCACTTATACGAGGGCTGTGTCGCCAAAAATGGAAGGGACACAGGTGGGGGAAGAAACCAAATCACCTCTGTCCCTCCCTGCAGCAAACAGGATTGGCAGGTGGGATGCTGTGAGGTCCTTGTGCAGGCAGAGAGCAGTACGTGAGGAAAGCCTTAGATCTGAGCAAGAGCATCTGCCTGTCAGCAGAGGGAGGCTGCCAAGTGGTGGGCGGCTGGCGTATGTGCTGGGAGAGGGGAAACTCAGAGCGTGTATTTGTGTTAGCGAAAACGCTGTAATTCTTCACAGTGTAAGCAAGAGGCTTGGTCCTGCCAATTCTGAGGCTGGGAAAAAAGCAGTAGTTGGCAGTAGGCACATCTTTTCTACTAAGATGGCCCGTCTCAGCCTACTGTCTGCATTTCAGCCCAGAATCAGACCCATGGAATGGCTACTTGCCACGAGGAGCAGGGCAGAAGGAGGGAAGAATGGGCAAACTGTCATGTAAATTTAATGTAGCTCAGGGTGGTGATAGCAAAGCCCTGTTATGCATGGATGGAAATCTCCTTCTCCTTAGAAATCTCACAGGGAACTTACAGAAGTTGATTAAATTCAAATCTGGCCAAGGTCTGGCCCTGCAAGCTCTCAGTTGAGTTTCCCTCCCAGGATATCTCTCTAGAATAAATCTCTCCTACAGACACACTTTTCTTGCATCCCTGGAAGGTTAAACAGAAGCAGCAGAACCTGCTCCTATTTCAGTGAGAGAGAAGTCTTTCCAGACCAGAAATTGGTTCGATTTGTTTGAATGTTTGGAGAATATGGCATGAGAACATCTTTATCAGCAAGTGCACTACAGCCATGGCAAACCCTGTAAAACCACACATACCAAAGAAAGCAAATGTGGAGTGACTATTCTCCTGTCTCTTCTGAAGTAAGATCTGTGGGGCAGAAAAAGGAACTGGCAGGTGGCAGGTTCAAAACAAGCAAAAGATTGTGATACCTCATACCACAACAGACCGAGCTGTGGAACTACTTGCTGTAGGGTTTTTTTGGATGATAAACGCTTACATGAGCCAACTACAAAAAAATACAGAAGATAAATAGGAAGATTTTACTTTCAGCTCTGGAAATCCTTGACTTACAAGTTTTTAGAAGTTGGAAGAATATTCCCAGAAAATATCATTGCCAACTTACTATACTCCCCATGTACTCCTCGCTAAACATCCAATGTTAGCTATCAAAAAAAAAAAAAAAAGATATGAATGATGCTCATGCCTGCAGTGTTTTCCTTAGTTTGATCAGGGCACAATACCTGATGCAGCAAGGAGCCAGCAGTTGCTGTTTTTAAGGATGCTGTCAGTTTGATCTCATCTATATGACTTTATGCTATCCTTGAAGATGCTGGACTGCCATATCAAGAAGCATGTGGATGTGGCACTGAGGGACATGGGTTAGAGAGCACGGTGGTGACAGGCTGATGGTTGGACTAGATGACCTTGGAGGTCTTTTCCAACCTTAATGATTCTATGATTCTATTATGCCAAGGACAGGAAGCCTCTGCTCCATAACACACAAAACTAACCCCTTCTCCTGGAAACCACCAGCCTCAGTATGTACTTCAGTGAGGGGGACTGCAGCCTGTTGGGCTCATGCACTGCTCAGCAGGGCAGAGACCTTCCTGGATACCACGGGATTTTCTGCTTACTGCACAACAACAAGTGACTGCTTTCCTTCTGGTAGTTCACTGAGCTCAGCCTAATTCTGCTCCTGCGTGGTTTGGTTACAGTCCTCACTGAGTGCCAAGGCAGTCCCATTCATTTCTTTTGGGACTGCCATCAGCCCGTGGGACTGCCATCTTTTGGGACAGCCCGTGAAAAATATAAAGCGGGCATCATCACAGAAGTGGCACACAGCAAGTCTGTATTCCAGCACTTTGTGTGAAACAAACTGGCAGGATTAAACCAGAGGTACAGGGTACAGACTGAAACAGAGTCTGACGAACATCAGTCACTCTTCCGTAGCTGGTTTTCTAACCCATAGGATGAATGGAAAGAGCAGCAATGTAACACAAGATAAGGAAGCTTCAGAGATGGAAAAGTCATTTCTACTCTAAATGTAGAGCAGTTAAAAAATGTTGTGAGGAAACACACTGGAAACCAGACAAGAAAGAGGGTAATTACAGCATTTTCTTGCTTCCTAAGGGAGTGGTGAATCTTCTCCATCCACCTCCACTTTCCCAGTCCCAGCCTTGAGAAGCAGCAGCACAGGTTTTTGTCCTCTACTTACCGTAAACCCATCCTACACAGATGACTTCAAAAATGGCCAGGAATAGCAGGCATGTGCCACTAGCAGCATAGTAATCAAAGAGCTGGAAGATGTACATCCCACCCTGTAACAGAGGTAGAGAAAAGGGAGTCATAGCAGGTTTCCATGTCCACAGGAGCACTTCATTATTGGTTTGGTTTTGTTTGTTAATCACCTAGCAAGTTTCCAGCATTACTTCAAAGCACTATGACAGTGAAAATCTCTGCATCTAAGAAATGGGGATCCTGATTGCCAGGATATTCAGATGATACCTTATTTTGCCTGCATCCATGTTTACATATTTCTCAAGGTCCATACCCCATGATGGCAGGCACATCACTTCCTGCTGCCCCTATCTCTTGGGTTGAGCCCTGTCTACTTGCCATCAGCTAGCTCTAGAATTCAGTCGCCTCATATTTCCATGTGTGTTTTCCAAAGAGAAAGCCATGCCAACAGAAGTCAAGCAGATGCTTTCCAAGGGTGCTGAAGGACTCTATCCACTGACAGAATAGTGGAATCCCTTCATCCCAACACATATAAGGTGGTGTGCTGCAACAATGGGTGTAGATGCCTCCACATGAGGGGCATACCAAATCCATGGAATCCCTGAGTTCAGTTTCTCACAGTTGAAGCTCTCTTGATCACATGCGTGGCATTGCATCAACACAACTCTGCTGCTTCTGGTCCAGAGACAACAGGCTCTCCCTTGGCTGAGGCAAGATGATGCTGCACTCATTACCCCATCCTGCCCTCCTGCCACCCTGCTTCTCATGCAAAACAACCAGCAAGTGATCACTGCTCTTAGAACAGCTTCTGAATATGCAACTCAGCTTGCTTGAGCAAGGTGATATTTGCATAAGGCAGCCTTATCGAGCTGCAGGGGCTGTCTCTGTGGCTCCATAACAGGTGCAGGAGCATCACACCATCAGCGACAGTGGCTGAGAGACAGCTGCTAATGCACTGAAAATAAAGGATAAACAAAAGCATCAAAGACAAGCCTGTTGCCTCTAAGTGCTCCTCCAGAGCAGTCATGCAGGATTTCTGGTGTCTGGTTGTAGCCCAGCTCCACCTCTCTTACCTCAGTGACCAGCAGTAAGCCCAGCAGGTAGCACATCACCGCAATGGCCAGGATCAGCAGCTCCCGACGTCCCTTCTTTCGAAACACTCCCGGGAACATGTCAATGAGAGCTGTCACCATGCTTTCCACACAGACAAACTGTAGGAGAATATAGGTTACAAAGCCTAATGTCTTCCCTTCCCCAAGAACATGCTCACTGTCCTTTTCTCCTCAAGACTTGGAGACTTCTCCCAAGACAGCTAGGCCAGCGTGAAGGAGAACAATCAACAAGGTAAGGAAAGAGGGGACTTTGATTCAGGGAACAAAGAGAAGTGGAGGTTCAAAGGTTTAGGTGCTACGAAGTAGAGCCTGAACAGAATGCCCTGCTTGGCAGCCAGGCCAGGACACCCCCTCTCCCCTTGAGCCTGCATACCAGGGTTTCACACTGCTCTGCTGGGTTTTCCTCCTGGAGGGTAAGAGGTGGATGCAAGACCACTCCCCAAATGGAGATGTGCTGGGACACCCTCGCATACATGTGAAGATAAAGATGCCAAACAGAGATGCCACCACATATACCCACTGGCCTCTCTTCAGCCCTGGCTGTGAGTATCTGTGGTGTGAAACAGCTGTGGACAGTGTGGAGAATGTATTTGAGGTACCAGCAAAGCATATAACCACCTAATCCTTTCCCACAGGCATGAAGACGTGTGCAGAGTGGCAACAGACACTTAGGAGTTGGAGAAGGAGGGTTAGCTTGCTGTACCTGGCTGTCCAGTCCCAAGAAGATCAGCATGAGGAAAAAGAGGCAGGACCAAAGCTGAGACACGGGCATCATTGTTACTGCTGTTGGGTATGCTATGAAAGCCAGACCAGGACCTGCCAACAAACAGCAGCATAACCACATCTGAAAGCACTGGTCCTGCAGACCTCACTGCAGACAGCACAGTGACAGAGGATGTAGATAACATCTACATCCTTGGCCCTGCACATGCCAGCTAGGTGGCAATGAGTGTGCTGTTGTACATGAGCTAGCATGGCCATTGCTCACTGCAACAAGCCAGAGCCTGATGTATGCTGACTGCATGCACAGTTTTCTCAGCTAAGTCCAGGCTTCTCCACAGGCTCCATGGGGGTTCAACCTAAGCAAAATTGGCAGCAGATTTGAGGGTCTGGGAACACAGAGACTGAAATTTAGTCATGTTGAGGTTAGAAACTGTTGCTGTCCTTTTCAGAAGCATTTCAGAAGTGCCAGGTACAGACTCGTCCATCTTGGGGGTCTCTAGCCACAGAACACTCAAATAATTTGGGCTGAATCAGATTTAGTTTGAAAATTCCCCCAATATTCAATTCCTAGTGGACTCCAAGGACAGAGGAACAGAATTCTTCTGTAAACTGTAGCTATATCCTGTCTGTATTCCCACTGATGACAAAGGAAACAATCCACAAGATCAGACGTGGAATCAGAATTTGGCACAGAAAACTTGTAAATGTCAGTGAAGTAAAACTGGACATGAACTTGAAAGAGGTGGGAACTTATCTTTGAAGATTTTTTGTTGTTTTGTTTGTTTGTTTTCTTTAATACAGTTGTCTGAAAAGTTTTCAAAGAGATTTAATAACACAGAAAGCAAATGGCCATAGAAAGATATTTATGAACAGAAAATGGGAGGCTGCAGGAACATGGACTGAAACAAGTTTTTCACAACAGTGTAACACTCACCAGTCTTCTATTCAAAAATAATTTGACCAAAACTCTTCAGACTTTTAGGATATATTTTCCTGTAAACAATGGCTTTTCAGGCTGAATTAATTTTCCAGGCAAAAGATGAGGCTTTACAGTGGAAAAAAGTTGACACCTCAGCTATGGATAAACTTGTACTTCTCCACAAGGAGCTTGATAAAATGACAGTAGCATCTTGAAGACAAATCAGCCTTTCCTACGAAGAATGTGGGGACCCAGAACAATCTGTTTTGTTGTCATAACTGCACGCACTTACCAAGCACAGACCCGGGGTGAACACCAGCCAGCATATCTTGATCAAAGGCCATGGCCGATAACCAATCATGTCTTCAATGTTGTCGTAGAAGCGGTTGGCACCTTGGCCACCAGCCAGCACAGAGACAAAGTCAGAAGTGAGGACGTAAGATCATTGCTGTTTCCTTCAATCACAACTCATATCAGATCCCATATTTCTTTATCCTCAGTGTTTCTTCCTGGCAAAAAACATGGCTACCCTAATAAGAGCATGTGACAGACTTCCTGGTATCCAGAATGCTCACCTGTGGCTAAATACAGATGGAGGCTTTTAATTTCAGCCATAACTTTCCAGAAAGCTTGACATAAAATAAATAACCTGCCCCTCAGAGAACAGCATCTGTAAGTCAGAGAATGCAGACCCTAGCTTGAGGGGTATTTGATTTACAGGTCAACAAGGGAAAGCTCTTGCAGATGGAACACACGGGAATGTGTGAGCCCACAGTGATGCAAGAAACAAAGAGAGCAGGGAACACCAAATAAAACCCTCTCTTTGTTACCAGCTCAACGCACCGAAGAGTTTATGTCAAGAATCCACACTGGGTGAACTGGGTGTTTCACCTGTCATGAAGAGCCTGCTTTCCACAGAATATTTATTTTTTTGGCATAAAACCAAAAGACCCAGAAATCCAAACTCTGCTAGAAAACAAGACTTCCATCTGCAAGTATTGCTGTTCTGTTCAATGCAAGTTAATCTATGGATGCCTGATCTCTTCTTCCTCTCACTGTTCCCCTAAGTTGCATGACTGGCCCATTAAATTAAAGTCTAACTTCTGTACACACATCACAACACCATGGAAAGATCTGACCCTGTGTTCAAGAAATATTCAGAGGGTTCAAGTTAATGTCAGGGTTTAAAAATAAGTCAGCTTCTCTTACGTAGCCCATATTAGCCTGCACCCACCTGAACCCCATGATTCAACAGAGTGGGATATACCTCTAAAGAGCATCTAAAAATCATTCCACGGATCAGATCCTATCCACTGACTCTTCTCAAACCAAAGCATAAACTTGAAATGCATGCAGTGATATATAGAGAAGATAGCATAATGCAAGTGGAAATCAGCAGACCTTCTAGCTCTAGGATGTCTTCAAGGAATAAGATCCTCATAGATCATAGATCCTCATAAGAATGCACCAGTAAGAATGCACAAAGATCTTCCTAACTACTAGAGATACTAAATCAGACTTTCTCAGGTAAAATAGGGCAATATTAAACAAAAAGCTGGAGATAACTTGCCCATAGAAATGGTTACTGTATTTGCCTTATTGAAGTTTTATCATAATGCTTAACTGATAAAGAATTGCTTCTTCTTTTAGGGTTGTTCATCCAATTGTGAACTCATTGCCAGAGTTCCTATCTCCAAATGAGCTGAGACCTTGTCTCCTCGCATTTTCATACCAGAAGGGTGGGCAAAAATTTATCCTAGAGGACTTGCCACACTACCATGTGCTTAGTATTTAATGTGCTTTGTTGTGTTATGTTTTTCTGTCTTAGAACCAAGTCCCAAGATCTTTTTCCTTCGTGTGAATTCTACAAAAGCACATTAAGCATGTTTTTCTTTTCTGTAATTCTTTGTGTTATTTTCTGTATCCCATGACTAATATTTGCAGGAAAGCTCCCTTAAAACCAGCTTTTGAAGCATTTAGGAAAGAGGGATGGGGAGGAGCACGTTCTTTGAATACCTCATGGTTCCCATCTTGAGTTGGCAAGTTAACAAGTAGCTTCCAGCAAAAACAAGCTGCGCATATCAAGGGACATGCAGCCTTGTGTAGGATCCCAGCCTACATCAGAAAACAGAACCCTAAAACTTCCAAGCTACAAATCCCATGAGGCTTCAGATAACGTTTCTGAAAATATGCTGGGGATGAAGGGGAGATAATATAAAAATATGTTCTGCCACAAAGCCAAAATCTTCCATGAGGTAGGAAAAAAAGGAGAGTGAGATAAATGATATGGCTGTGGCATAGCGCAGTCTCTTACACCGTACAGTGTTTCCACAGAAACACACCATGATGTCAGATATACGATGGATAAATTAATTCACACTGGCGGCTGAAGTCAATTTCACTGCAAATTTTGGATCTAAGATCTAGTGAGGGACGTAGTGAGTAAAGAAACACAAAGATGCCAGGCCAAAAGAAAGACACAGCGCACGTCTATTCTCCAGGAAGGAAACAACACAAACCTTACAGTTAGTTACAGCATGGGTCCACCTGTTCCCATCCCTGTTCTCTGTAGTATTCCCATCAGGTCCTTTGTTTCCAGGACCACTGTGGCAAACAGTAGGGTGTTGTGGTGAAACACGATGGACACTGACACAAACAGCCTCAGAAAGTACAGTAATGGGAGCTTTTACGTGTTCTGCTTTTCACAGGATATGGAAAAGTAATCAAGCTAAAGAAATCATCAGTTCAATCACTCAGCGTTGGCTTTTTGTGCAACTTAGAAGCTAGAGGATTTGTGCAGTCCCCATTCCTTCTCAGAATATTGGAAGTAGCTTACAACAACTGCAAGTAATGAAAGGGACAAAGATTTTTCTTTTCTTCCCCACCCAGAAACAGTGTGTTTCACAGATGAAGTACATAGTCCAGGAAATATTTCTCAATATGTCCTGGTTTCAGCTGAGATAGAGTTAATTTTCTTCCTAGTGGTAGGTACAGTGCTGTGTTTTGGATTCTGGATGAGAATAATGGTAACGTGCTGATGTTCTGATTGTCACTGTGAAGTGCTGCACAGAGCCCAGCACATGTGTTCTTCTGGTGCTGCCCTGCCAGTGAGGGGGGAGAAGCAGATGGCAGGGTGCAGAACCAGGACAGCTGATGCAGACTGGCCACAGCTGCACCATGTGGTGTCATGTTGAACAACAAAATGGAGAAGAGTTGGCTGGGAGGACAGCTGCTGCTCAGGGAATGGGTTGCGCATCAGTCAGTTGGTGGTGAGAACTGAACTGTGCATCACTTTTTTTTGTAATTATTATTATTATTAATTTTCTCTTATTTTTCTGTCTGATTAAACTGTCTTTATCTCAACCTACAAGTTCTATCTTTTTCCATTTCTGTCCCATATCCCCAGAGTGAAGGGAGAGGGTGATCAAACAGCTGAATGGTGCTGGGTTGTCTGCCGATTTAAATCACAATACAGTACATCCTGTTTGAACTGTTAGTGTAGAGCCTATGACAAAACTCTCTCTTTTAAATCTTTTCTCCCAAGCTGCATTTATTTGCATTCATCTGTACTGAATTTCATCCACAGGAAGTCAGTACATGATGACCTTGGTGCCAGGCCACAGCTCTGAGCTTGTGTCTGCTCTCTTGCTGTCCCAAACCTGCAGTGCCCACGCCTGTGCCAAAACCATGAAAATGCTGGCAGGACATTTGCTGGGGCACTGTAGGAACTGTGTGCCATTTGGATAGCAGCTGCTTTTAAAGAGCCTTTGCAATCCATAAATAACAATGTGAGGTTGCCTGTAGCAGGGGCATCCAAGAGGATAAAGCAAACTCAGCTAGGGCAGCCTGATGGGCAGGATCCAGCCAGGAGGAATGCGCTGCTGCTGCTGGTAGACACATTGTATGTAAGCAAGAGAGGAAGATTTATACCAGCTGAACACAGATTCACCCTGCAGCCACCCACAGGTGCCTGCTGGCATCAGTTTGCTTTAGCTTTGTAAACAGTTCAAAGGGCTTCAGCCCCAGCTCTCATGCAGCGATGGAGGCACATGCTTTCTCCTGCAACAGCTTATCGTAATATGCATGCTGTGACTGCCTGAAAAATGAAAACATCACTCCCATACCATGTTTCTGTGGCATCATGCTGCAGCCCGAGTGCACAAGAAGAGTACCCACTTATACGAGGGCTGTGTCGCCAAAAATGGAAGGGACACAGGTGGGGGAAGAAA